CCTATATATTATGTCATCTTCATATTCCTTTACTCTGCATATTTGTAAATGATATCGACCCAGTTTAGCCTATGAAAGGGATTTTACCAGAAGTGTAGGCCTCCTAATTAATTATTAATAATACAAACGAAGGTAGACCTCTTGAATCTAATGTGTATAGAGAGATTAATTTGTTTAGTATTTGTCTGACAACGATGGCACGGTCACCGTACTGCCTACCACATGATAACCTTATTTGTTCCATGGAAGAGTAACAACTTGATTTTTTTTTCATTTTATCAATTTGATTGATAACCAACACTAATACTAACGATAACCGTGTGATATTGATTAGATAGCACCATGATGAACTCATACAAGAATACATGACGCGATATTTCATCAATGATATCAGTGGTAATCAAGCGAATAACAATTCTGAATTTTTTTTTAACAGGCATAAAAACATACAATCTTTATTTTTTTTTTCTGTAATTCAGTACCATAACATAGGCCTACGGTACGGTATTTAATTCCTGCTATTGTAACGTGTGTTCAATAGAAAGGTAAATATTGTATTAATAATTTATTTGGTTTAAGAGCATATGAATTCTGAAATTTACAGCTCCATGGTTAAACCATGGAGGTATAATAGTTAAACATTGAATATTAATGTCACGACGTCAGGCGCTTGTATGACTGCTAAAGCATGAATTATTGAACGAGCGTTATCAAGGCCAGTTTTTTTTTTCGTTCAGTGTTTTCTCCCTCCTTTCTTAATTCTTTGAAGGATGATTTACCGAAACATGATTTTGCTATCAAGTAATTACATTAATTAAATTTGTAATAAATATAAACAACTTTAGCAACATGAATTCTTACAATACTATAATATAAATGCCCTCACACCCATCAGGGAGTTGTTATAGTGACAACTCCCTGCACCCATTAAAAAACGGACCACATGTTTAATATAGTTGAGAATGTACTGAATATAACTATCCCAAAAAAATTAAATAAAATGAAATAAATAAAACAAAAACAAAAACAAAAACAAAAACAAACAAAAACAAAAACAAAAACAAAAACAAACAAAAACTTCAAATTCAAGAAAATCTTTTTTTTTTTTATTGTAACCAGTAATCTATAAAAGCCCGTGAAGTACAAAAGCTGTAATTCTATTCATTTTTGCACACCCACTCAAATTTCCCCACCCCCACCAATGGTAATCCTGGATATTAACTACTCTGCTTATATTATATCTATTATAGTGTTGCTTAGATCACGCTTCGACATCCATTGCTCACAGTGCATGGCTCAGGTCAGGCTTTTGTTGCCTTAATATTATTCGCAGATGAGTTTCAGCAGAGGGGGTAACGGATATATAACGGATCAGCTGTTTTTGAGTTGTCAGCACAAAGTAATTGGGACCTGGTAGATGGTTGTTCGACTTTTGAACCCCATTGTTTGGTGGCTCAGTATATAAGGTCCAGAGCAACACTTTCTGCCATTTCAGGTTTATACTTTATACAGTCAAGATTTCGTAAGAAAGCCTAAGGCTTTACTTCGAAATGGGACTGAAATTGTTTATAGTTTTGGCTGTGGTCAGCAGTTCGTTTGCTTGTAAGTTGATAATTATTTTCTTCATTTTTTAACTTATAAATTAATTTTAACTTCGCCTAATGCATTATTACCTTACTTCATAGATTTAAATAAATAATTCATATTATATTTTCAACAAAAAAAAAATTGATCTTTACCGCATTTGATTATTTTGGCGTGCGATGTAACAACTCTGGATGTAGTAATTTAAATGTATAGGCCAAGCTACATTCTCTTCACAATATTTGTTTGTGAACAAATATATCAATTTATCCCCTATACACTAAGATATAGAAACATAAAGGACGTATTTAACTAACTAAATAACTTGCGGTCATAACCCTTTCTTATAATTAATTTCTTTGTCTTAGTTATTGTAATTAATAATAGACAGGTAGATAGATATTTTATTAATGTTCCTGTCTCTGCTGGTATTGAGCATGGAGTTATAACTCCATGTATAGAGGAAGCCATAATGAGGGGTTAGCATGTTCTTGGATTTTTGCATGGAATATTTATAAACACGCAGTGCTTTACTAAGATAAGGATTTACGATGGATTTACTTATTACTTTGTAGAGGGCAACTGGAAACGACCATTCTATTTTAATAAGCGAAATATGATCGATGTATACACATACAGTACAGTACTATCTTTCTTCAGTGGGGACTTTATCTGCTCTAGAGAGGGCGGGCTATCATAAATGTGAAACTTTTCACCTTAGTTTTTATAATAATGCTAGAGGGCGCACTAGAAACTTAATTGAAGTCAACAAAACGTATCAATTCAGTTGCTAATTCTTTTGCAGTTGCGAAAGACATAAATTTTAGTTTAGTAAAGTAAGCTTAATTCTAATATAAATGCATATTGTATATATAGTCTTAGTTGCGTATTAAACTAAACTACTCTGCTTTTTCAAAAATAAATCCAAATGCTGCATAAACTGAACACAATTGATATATCCGTTTATACGACCCGTATATTAGACGACCGGAGTTTTAAGAATGTTTTTGGACGATTTTTGTATCGGGCGTATATAGACGCCCTACCCACTCTCGTCCGTTTCACCGTCGGAATTCATACTTTTTACTGAACTTATAAATGACCTTGATTACTGCAATTAGCTGGCTAGAAAAGGAGCCACATGTAGGGCTAATCTTTAAAATAATGGCCTACCATTTTATGGGCTTTTAAATATTAATAAAAAACTTATTTCCAACTATTTAAAATTGCGTTTTTCATTCATACTAACATTTATTAGGTTAATTGCAGTAGTATATTGTTACGGACGTTCCGCACATAAGACGAATTGATTTCAAAATCTAATATTTTTGTATGTTGCGCGTATTTTTCCATTGTAATTTGCTATTTTATGCCTCGTCTTAAGGCCAACTCAGACAGCGTCGTACGACGCAGGGCAGTGTGAGTTAAAAACGCAGACGCGATGGTGTGCGTCGGGGCAGTCTCGTAGATTATTAAACATGTTAATATTTCTCACGACGGCTCAAGACTGTCCCCGACTATAAATCGGGTCGGGCTGCGTCGGCCGACGCTGTCTGAGTTGGCCTTTATACGCATGTATGTACGGTACATAATGTCGCATTTGTACGCTTTAATTAAAACTGTATTCCCTAACAATAGTACACCTTTTTTTTAAATTATTTTGCATTGTTTTTTGCAGGGCCAGCATGGCTGAGCACATCAGAACAGTGCGGCAAAACCTGTAAAAGTAAGTCTTATTTATTTTGGAACTATGACGAAAATTTCGAATATAGGCAATGTGACTTCAATGGCGGAATATCAGCCATAAATCGCCCCAAAATTTACAGTGCCATTTCCGGCCATCTAGAAGTGCCATAGACATAAAATACTTCATACCTCAGCCCCAACTGTGGTGGGGTTGAGCATAGAGCAAAGTAAACGTTGCTCTCTGGGTTGAAGTGGTTTCTTTTATTTCGAATTCCAGGAATCACTTCTGTTTAATGTATTTTTTTGGCGATTCACCTCCTATCTATATTGTTGGGATATGGACAATAAGTGACACTTAAACACAGCTAGGGCTCCATGAAACTTTTGACATGTTCCGAGATGTCCGCGAGTACAAAAATTTCCTCAAATTTCCCACCTCAGTCCAGTCCATGGTAGGGCTGAGGTGACTGAATTACTGGACAGGCAGTGATGAAGTCGGATATTATAAATGGCTAATACAGTTTGTAGGATAGTAATATGATGTATTTTCAATTCATTTTCCCCCCTAAATCTTTTAAAATTATACAACCGATATGAGAACTTAAAATTTCAACTAAATATTTTATTTTCTATTTTAATTTTTGCTTTATCCAGGTATGCCAGGTTACGAAATAAACAAGAGATACACCTATGACTACAGTGTAACGGTTTCGTCATTGGTTAATGGGACATCTGATGATGACTCTAGTGTTGTTCTTAACTGCAAAGCAGCCATCGAGGTTTTGGACAATTGTGAAATGGTGTTGAAGGTATGACAACAAGTCTAGAGAGCGAGTTCACTTATAATGTTGATTCTTCTTAGACTAATGTTTGTGTATTATACAGTATTCAACGATGTCCTTATACAGTATTCAATGAAGTAGTCCTGTCCAGAAGATATCTCTATAAACATTTTTCTTGGTGGCATCTTTAGAAGTCATCACTCAGATCTCTGTGATCACTCTCTCCCCATTGAAATTCGTCAATGCAAGTCAATTATATATTCCTGTAATTAAGTAGAGTGACTTTTAATTTATGAATTATACAATATTTACCTTTTCCCTCGATCGTTTTTTCTTGTAGGTTTCTGAGGTGCAAATCGAAGAGAAGAATCAAGGCGGTTCATTTTCTACCTCAAAAAATAACAGATACCTCAAAATGTCCTTAATGGATTACGATTTACGCTTTAGTTATGACGAGGGTCTCATTTCAGCGGTCTGTCCCGATGATGAAGAGAAACCCGAGATGTTAAACATCAAGCGTGGTATCTTGTCTGCCTTCCAGGGCACCTCACTGCAAGTGATGGATGGTTCAGAACCAGAACTGACCACTATCGAGGTAAGAGGACCGCTGCATATTCTACCAGTACATACATACTAGTTCTATCAGGATAGGAGGCGCCGGAGTCCTGGGATGGCCGAGACTCAACCGGTGCTGGACAGGGTACTGACAGATTGCTGGTCAGCGAAAAGGGCGTATCCCCATACTGCGGTTTGGGTGCTTGGAATTATTTCCTTGTTTCTCCAATTACTGTACATCCATTCACTTGTTTTTGAGCAATTAGAGACTCGTATTTTGCACGGTATAAATGCATAACCTTTAACATACTCCTATTTATATCAAAATAATTACTTGTATTGTTGATTATCAATGGCATCCTCACTACCACCATTGGCTTAGGTTTGTCTTCAACAGACCCCGAGTACAGTAATAACTTTTGACCTTTTGATTTGATGTTATCAGAACTAGAATGGACCTTTCTGGAGTGTCAATCAATTTAACAACTGAGCAATCAAGACAGGGTCAGGAATACGCGCGCGTCTCACAATCACACGTGTTGTCCCACAAACGCATGGGTTTGCGTATGTTTAACGTTTTTTCACTGGTCTTGTGGGACCTTGGCAACAATATCCAAGGGGCGGGGCTAAGGGGAAAGATCTATTGATCTCTTTCCATAATGTTACTTGCCATACAACGGTACATAAAATCGAAGTAGATTTTACGATTTAAAATCTAAGTAAATTTTGCGATTTATATCATCACTAACCATAACCCAAGTCGTAGTTAGACCTAAACAAACTTTAAAACAGCTCATTTCTTGTTTGGTTTATGTAGACTGATGTTACAGGTATCTGCCCTGTTCAACTAAAGAAAGTTAGTGACGAAAAGACCATCAAGTCGAAAAATTTCTTGGGTTGCAAGGAACACGTCAAGATAGATTCATCCGTCCAGGCCACTCAACTTCTACCTCATGCGGTAAGTAGTATGGGTTAGTTATACATCAATAGCTCACACATCTCGTTAATCACTTAAGGTAACGAGAATTCACTCCTCCTCAGGCTTAACTAAATCATGTACTTAAAGGTGCACATTCTGTCTTCCAAGCGCCAATTACAGGTCTCCCTCTAAGACCACATTCGGGACTAGGTTTTTCATGGTGTTTAACACCTTTAGTTTTAATTAGAAACTAGGCCTACAGCTATTTTTTGGGGTCCAAAGAGATAGGATTCTGTCTAGGATTGCTCAATAAATAAAAGTGGTCTTTACGTAGATGTGTCTTTACTTAGAGGGAGAACTGTATAATATATCATATATTTATGAAAAAGGTAAATCAATTTGAATTGTGTTATTTTTTGCAGCCAACCATGAATATTCTCAACAGTAGTCAAGTCTGCGAACAACAGTGGACAAATATGCAGCTTCAACGTGCACTGTGTCAAGAAAAACACCTTGTTATACCGTTTTCCAAAGGAGGAAATGGTGCCCTTACCACCGTTGAACAATACATGCAGATTACAGATATTGAAACCATAGCAGCAGCATCCAGCGGTAAGACAGTCAAATATAATATTTCAGAATTAACGTGTCATCATCAGTATGTTCATCATTCTGTATATGATATTGAGCCCATACGAATGCTGCTTCCTAACATTTTAACAATTCTGAGATATCCACTCTGGTTTTGCCATTTCATATTGTTGGCTGTTGTTGAACTACAAGATATAACGTAGTACGATGATCTTTCAATTTACATTGTACTCCGTCTAACACATTTTTATCATGCAGGGGTGGCGCCAGGATTTTTCCGACGATGGGTCCAAGGACCCCGATGAAAAAACAAGTGGGCGTGGTCGGGCGTGGCTCAAAATCTGTCTATAGTGTTCCAGGGGGAAAATACATATACTCTTAATCCCCACCCCCTGACGAATTGTGGTTTTTAAAGGGGTGCCCTGGCCATCCCTGTTCTAATGCCGCATAAGACTACATTTGCCTTTATTAATTGCCAATAATTACTATTGCAGAACGTATCAATAAGAGGACTGATATACTCTTTGAACATGTAAAGAAGGAGGATTCGATTGCCAAGGAACAGTTGTTAAAAACGCTTGACGATGTTTGCTCAAAGAGCGCGTCAGAGATTCCACCAGAAGCTGCTGAGTTGTTCGCAAAGGTTGCGTTCCAAATGCGCAAACTTGAAAAGGAACCACTTAAGCAAGTTGTGAATAATGTTCTTGACGATACTCTATGCAATGGCCGTCTCTCATTCAAGTATGCAGCAATTTTCTTTTGAACTTTTTTCTTAAAGGAGTAAACGCTTATGAATTTGTAACAACTTTTGAGTTATATAGAAATAGGAATATTCTTTCTCGAAAAGGGTTTGGTATATTTCTGTAACACATTAGTTAGACGGAAAAATCCTTTGTTAACTACATCATTATGGGGCTTTTTTTGGATATTAGTGGGGATAAAAAATATATTTAAAGTTAAATTTTAATTGAATTATATATATGCTTAAATTCAGAATAATGCCATAAAAATTATGGTATATTTCTTTTACACATCATTGGCAGGAAGAAACGTATGTTTGGTTCAATATACTAATAAACTAAATATCATTCTATGGGGCATATTGTTTGTAAATACAAAGCGCTTCCTTTTCCTGGTCATTAAGTCCACATGCTTAAATGTTACTGTTTCTAATCAGTGCAGGAGCAGGCAACCCCACCAGGTACCCATTTATACTCCTGGGTAGAGAGAACCAATGCAGATAAAAATGCCTTGCTCAAGTACACAAGCGAAATGTACAGCAGGGGATTGAAACCCCGACGTCGAGGTCATTAAGGTGTCTCTACGTTTTATCTTGCAGGAAGTTTGTAGTAGATGCACTCCCAGTTTGCGAAAGCACAGCTTGTGTCGGTGTGATGACTGATCTTATCCGCGCTGGAAACATGACACAAAAATTGGTAGATGCATGGATCATGTCTTTCGCATTTTTGCGCCATCCATCTGCTGATATGATAAATGATCTCACGGTAAGAGTTGACGAGATATATAT